TTTTAAATTCTTCAGTTCACAGGATGTAGCATATTGTTGGCTAGGCCAGCATTTATTATCACTGTACAGACCTGGGCAAGGTGGTGATGAGCTGCGATCTTGAACCACTACTGTCTGTATGTTGTAGCTCCACCTACAGTTCTGTTCTAAAGTGGGTTCTAGAATTTTACCCAGTGATGCATTGTTAAATCTAAATCTGATAGATATCTGTTACCCAAACGCAATGACAGAGACAAGGCTAAAGCAGCTTGATGCAGTCAGATCACAGAACTGCCATGATTACATAGAATGGAGGAATAGGGCTGAGTGGCCTACTCCTGTTCTTGCATATGATCCAGTGGCAAAACCTCCAGGATACATAATTCAAAGTTCACAACTTGTGATTGTACCAAAGCGCCATTAAAATGGTCACAGTTCTTGTGAGGCCCACTCTGATTGGACACATGGTTGATCCACATCAATAAATGACAATGTATAATGACCCAGAATTCATAGTGTCACTGGGAACGGGGGCAATGGTGAGGAGCAGCAGGGGGACTGGGAGGTGGAGGCAAGTGGGGAGGGAGGGAGAATAAGGAGCTTTTGGAGGAGGGGGGACAGGGAGAGGATTGTGGATGGGAAGGGAAATGAGGAGTGTATGGAGGACGAGGAAAGGGGTGAGGTGCAGGGGCGAGGGTGAGGGCGAATGTAAGTGGCAGAGGAGAAGGAGAGGGGCAGGGAAGTGAGGGGGAGGGGAGGACAGGGAGTAGTTTATCCGTACACTTGCCCATATTTGGAGACCTAGGTTGCCACAGATTCTGAATCCCAGGAGTTACCGACTCCAACCGAACATATTCCTGGAGCTTTCACCATGCCACCATTCCTCAAGGATCAGTTGAATGCCTTTATTCCCACCCCAACCCCAAATCAATCAGACCCTCGCCATCTGCCCTGGAGATTTATCTTCCAGCTCCTGCAGACTTCAGGCCCGTCGTGGAGGTGTCAGTACCAAATGTGCCAGGAGTGTCCCCCAGTTTGTGTGTTGGCTGAGGTTTGGAGCTCAAGATGGGCTCAGGAGCTGGGTTTGGGGCCGGGGCAGTTACAGGAGACTGTTTTAGAACAGTACAGCACAGGAACAGGCCCTTCGGCCCATCATGTCCGTGCCAACCATGATGTTGTTCTAACGTAATCCCATCTGCCTGCATATGGTCCATGTCCCACTATTCCCTGTTTGTTCATGTGTCAGTCTGAATGTCTAATATTGCTATCATATCTGCTTCTACCATCTCCCCTGGCAGCATATTTCAGGTACCTATCACCCTCTGTGTAAAAAAAATTGCCTCAAACATTTCCTTTAAACTTTCCCCTCACCTTAAACCTCTGCCCCCTAGTATTAGATATTTCCACCCTGGGAAAAAGACTCCGACTATCCACTCTATCCATGCCCCTCATAATTTTATATGCTTCTATCAGGTAACTCCTCAGCCTCCGAAGCACTAGCAAAAATAATCCAAGTTTGTCCAACCTCTTTTTACAGCTAACACACTCCAATCCAGGCACATCCTGGTAAACCTCTTTTGCACCCTCTCCAAAGCCTCCACATCCTTTTGATAGTGTGTGAGCAGAACTATACACAATACTCCAAATGTGGCTTAACTAAAGTTTACACAGCTTCGACATGACTTGCCAACTTTTATACACAGTGCCCCGAGCAATGAAGGCAAATATGCCATATGCCTTCTTTATCACCTTATCCACTTGTGTTGCCGCGTTCAGGGAGCTATAGACTTGTACCCCAGGATCTCTCTGTATATCAATACTCCTAAGGGTCCTTCCATTTACTGAACACTTCCCTTTTGCATTTGACCTCCCAAAATGCATCACCTCACACTTGACCGGATTAAATTCCATCTGCCATTCCTCCACCCAACTTTCCAACTGATCTATTTCCTGCCGTATCCTTCGACAATCTTCCTCACTATCCACAACTCCACCACTTTTTCTGTCACCTGCAAACTTACTAATCAGACAATCTACATTTTGATCCAAATCATTTCTAAATATTACAAACAACAGAAGTCCTAGTCCCAATCCTGTGGAACACCACTGGTCACAGATCTCCAGTCGGAACAAACATCCTCCCACAACCACCCTCTATCTTCTATGACCAAGCCAACGTTGCATCCAACTTACCAACTCACTGTAGATCCCATGTCACATGAACCAGCCTACCATGACAGACTTGTCAGATGCTTTAGTAAAGTCCATGTAGACAATATCTGCTCTCCCCTCTTCAGCCATGATGTGGAGGTTCTGGTGTTGGACTGAAGGGGACCAAGTCAGAAGTGACATGACACCAGGCAGTTTTCGGAGTGCAGCTCCAAAAGTTTGCGATTTCCAATAAACCTGTTGGACTATAACCTTGTGTCCTGTGACTTCTGGCCTCAGGTTCATCACTTCCTCACAAAAGCTCAACCAAGTTTGTGATACAAAACCTTCCCTGCATAAAGCCATGCTGACTATTCCTAATGAGTCCATTCTTTTCCAAATACAAGTAAAAACAGGCCTAAAGTAAAAGAGAATGATTAAATCTATGGGGAAACTGACAACACTCACCTCGCCAGATAGAGCTGGGCATTGGTTGGAGGTGAATTTAAATAAATCTTGGGACCCTTTGTCTTGGATCTGTAATCATTCTCTCTCTCTGCTTAACTGCAAAGTGTGCTAATTACTCAAACACAGCTTCTGGCTTTTTGTTAAGGCTGAGGCTTTTAAAAAGAAAAGACTGTAGTTATTGAGCATCTTCAGTGACTGAAGAACATCCAACAGCTCTTTAGAATCAATGAGCTGCTTTTGAAGTGTGCTCACTGCAGGAATGTCAGCCAATTTGCACACAGCAAGATCCCACAATCAGCAGAGTGGTAGCGATCAGATAATCTGACATTCTGCATTGACAGATAAATAACAGCAAACGATACTAACATAAAGCTCCCTGCTCTTCTTTCCATTAGGTCAGAAGTCACAGCACACTAGATTATAGTGCAACAAGTCTATTTGAAATCACAAGCTTTCGAAGCGCTGTCCCTTTGTCAGCTGACGAAGGAGCAGCGCTCCAAGATTTCAAATGAACCTGTTGGACTATAACCTGGTGTCATGTGACTCCTGACCTTGTCCACCCCAGTCCAACACCGGCACCTCCACATCATGGCTTCTTTTCAAAGCAGGTGTGTGGCATTTTGAATCCATCTGCAAGCTCTTGATTTAATATAATCAGACAAGAAACAGCATCTCTGATAGCACTGCACTGCTTGAGCTCCACACTGGGTGTGCCATCCTTGATTTTTATGCCAAAGCCTCAGGAACAACCCTACTGACTCCGAGGCAAGGGAGTTCCTGACTGAGCCACAGCAAGAATACACTTTCTCAAGAGGCAGTGGAAGGAGATTCCTGAATGACTTTATAAAGAAGGGTTTTATAAAAACCTGAAAGAGAAAAAAATTGCAAGGTTATGGGGAAATCACAGCATTAGTGAGATTAATTGATAGCTCTTTCAGAGAGTTGGACCAGTCATGATGGGTAGAATGGCCTCCTTCGAAACTGTAGTGTTCTGCTGTGGGATCACCTCATTCTCAACTGCTGAACAATTCGAATAATCAACACCTTCAAACCAAAACGGTCTCAATTTCATTGCTCAAATTAGAATTAGAATTAGCTTTATTGTCACGTACTGAAATGAGTGAAAATTTCACAAGTTGCCACTCATAGCGCCATCTTAGGTACAGAGGTACCAAGGAACAGCTTCTTCAGTTACAAGACATTAGAAAATAGAGAAATAAAAAGTTCAGAACAACGGTGTTCCAACCCAGAGCACGCTGGTACCTAATCTCCATTCTGCACCAGGCTTCAGCTCGAGATTCATGAGGCTGGCAAATGGCTCTGGAATCACCTCGAGACTGGGAGACTACACGGAGTCCATGCCAGGCTGAGAAGACCCCTTGTTGTGTCTGCTGTGAGGCCGGGAGATACAGGAGAGAAGAAGATAAAAAGAGCACAAAGGGAAAAAGAATAGAAAGAAAAGAGAAAGAACAGGCAGAGCAGACGAGCTCTGGCTGAAGCAACCATCTTGGGCAAAGCATTTGGATTGAAAAAAGAATGTTGCCGAACGTAGATTTAGTTTTGGAAACTGGCCTGACTGATATTTTACCCCTTTCTCTGCCAAGTGAGACTGCCTGAAGGTGCTGGGGGTATGGTTTGGAGGGGCGGAGGTGGGTGGTCAAGCCCACCCAAGGTTAAGAAGCTGCTTGATGGGCAAAAGGGTCTCTTCATGTTGCTGCACTTGGGACAGGTCTGACCCATTCCCTACTCGTGTAGTGGTCACCCGACGTATCTCCCACTTTATCTAGAGGTATGGAACTCACTGAGAGGTAAGAATGGATTGGGGGGCCACCAAGGATAAAGATGCAGTGAGGACTTTAATGGAAGGATCTCTTCAACCAAGACTCAGTCCTTGATGGGCATGCCTTTGTCCTGCTACCTGCTCCAGTTTCAGAATGGCCCCACCCTGACGTGGTTGAAAAGTCCATCTAATAGCTAAGAACTGACAACGCTGTGTTGCAGGCAGACTCCCTGTCGAAATACTGAAATACAGTGGAGGAACACTTTTGGCTCGAATATACAATCTCGTTGCCCTCGTCTGGAAAGAGGACACCTTGCTAGGGGACCTTTGAGACGCTAATTGCAGCCCCCTTTGAGAAAGGAAATAAAGCCTATTCTGATAACAATGGATAGGTCTCTCTGCATTCATACAGGCCAAGGCCATTGTGAAAATGCTCTCCAATTGCCTCCCCGCTCAGGCTGAATAGTTCCTCCTGGAGTCACAATGCAGCTTCCATCCATCAGGAGGCACTGATCTCAACAACAAGCCTAAGAAAACAACAGCAGCAACATGGATTTCTTTGATCTCGCAAAATCCCTAACCCTATTGTCAATGGAGTGTCCTCCTCAAATGTGGCTTCCCACAGAATTCCGTCACTATTGTCCACCTGTTGCAAGCCGTGATCCTCAGGAACTGATCTACCACAAAACCCCAATGCTCGGCCAAGCACACATCACACCAACCACCTTTTCCATCTGCCTGGCCGTAACACCCCAGCCCTACTTTGTGAAGCTTCCGGATGGAGCAGAGCTGTCCTGGGTGATGAGTGGGAAACCGTTCACCCGTATCCAGAAGCAAACCCAGCACAACCCCTGTCATTGAGCTGCAAGTCATAAACTGACCTTCCGAGGCTGTGCTCATCGCTGCTGCTTTCACAGAGCTGTATGAGAGATCAAACGTGAGCCTAAACATTGGAAGATAAAGATCTTCTAGCAGCCTGTTCACATCACACACAACACTCCCCCCATCCCACCTGCCCATCCCTAGTTGCCCAGAGGGCAGTTAAGATCAATCCTATTCCTGTGGGTCAGGAGTCACATGTAGGCCAGATCACACTCTCTCTCCCACACACATATAAGCACACAATCATACACACGTGCACACATACACACTCATATGCACACAGACTCATATTCATGCACGCACACAAAAACACACTCATACTCACACACTCACTCAAATGTGCACGCATACATTCACACATGCACACATAACTCTCACACACACATATACCCTTTCACACACATGCACACAGACACACACACTCAAATGTGCACATATACTCACACACACTCACACAGTCACACACATGCACACAGGCACACACACACAAACTCATACACACACATTCACACTCACTCCCACATATTTCACACGCAAACACACTCACACTCATTCACACCCAGACACATTCACTCACACGCACACACACTCACACACACGCACTCACACACACACGCACACTCACACACACACATTCACACGCACACTGACACGCACACACTCTCACACACACACTCTCACACACACACACACGCACACTCACAAACACTTACACACTCACACACACTCACACACACACATTCTCACACACACACACACTCACACACACACACACTCACTCACATGCACACTCACACTCATACACACACTCACACACACACACACATGCACACACACACTCACTCACATGCACACTCACACTCACACACACACAAACACTCACACACACACACTCACACGCACGCACACTCACAAACACTTACACACACACACACACACACTCACATGCACACTCACACTCACACACACACTCACACACACGCACACACACACACTCACTCACATGCACACTCACACTCACACACTCACTCACATTCACACTCACTCACACACACACAAACACTCACACACTCACAAACACTCACACACTCACACACACTCACACACACACTCACACGCACGCACACTCACAAACACTTACACGCTCACACACACACTCACTCACATGCACACTCACACACACACGCACACACTCACACTCACTCACATGCACACTCACACACACGCACACACACACTCACTCACATGCACACTCACACTCACACACACACACACACTCACATGCACACTCACACACACACTCACACTCACACGCACACTCACACTCACACATGCACACACACACACTCACTCAGACTCACAGAGTGGGGGAAAGTCAGTTAGATGTTGCGGAGATGGGGGAGGAAGTGGGGGCAGGGTAATGGGAGTGAGAATCTGTCTGGTTGTTACAATGCTGGGATGTTTTGGCAGGGTGAGACCTACCTTTGACTTTAATTTTAATTTAATTGACTTTAAATTCACTGGATTCTCAATTCCCTGCAGTTCTCTCTCAAAGAGAACCTTCTCTACCTAATGGACCCATGCTTTCAGTTTCATTTAACATTCTTAAAACCCTTTCTATGTTTCTCTGAAAATCATTCATTTTTAACCATAAACTATTCATTAGGCCATCTGTTCATGTGAAAGTGGAGAGCTAAAACATTTCTGCCAGAGATTGAATACACCAAGTGGAGAAGGACATTCAGCTCCTGAGACCTGTTCTAACTTTCCATTTGATATTGATGGATCTGCTCCTTTTGTGCTGATACCTTACACAGCAAAGCTTCAGGGCACAGAAGCAGGCAAATCGGCTAGTTTTGGGTCTTTCCCAAACCTACAAAACACATCAGGTCAAATCATCAACAACAACTCATATTTATATAGGGCCGTCAATTCTTATTAGACAGTCCCTCAGGATCAAGGGGGACTTGCTTCCACTAGGTTTGGTCATTTCTGTAAATGCCAAGGTGCCTTCTGCAGACTCAGACACATGCAGCAGGAGGGTGGGGTGCTTAGATAGTCGGCTGAATAATGAGGCTCCAGGCTCCCTCCCAATACAGCCTCCTGAGGTGTTCAGAGCGTTTCTGAATTCACCTTTTCCACTTTGGTTGGTCACACACCAGAGTTACCCAATCTTTGGTGGTGACAGATTGTCCTCCTCAGGAAGGGCATCCCTAAAATGTTTCTGCTGTCCCCCTGGGACCCTCCCTCTGCGACCGAGTTCGCAGCCTCTTGGAGGGATCCCAGAGGGCTGGATGGGGTTACAGAGGGATTTAGAAACATTGGGCAGCACGGTGGCTCAGTGGTTCGCACTACTGCCTCACAGCGCCAGGGACCCAGGTTCATTTCCAACCTCGGGTGACTGTCTGTGTGGAGTTTGCACATTCTCCCTGTGTCTGTGTGGGTTTCCTCCGGGTGCTCCGGTTTCCTCCCACAGTCCAAAGATGTGCAGGTTAGGGTGGATTGGCCATGCTAAATTGTCCCATAGTGTTCAGGGATGTGTGGATTAAGTGAGTTAAAGGGGGATGGATCTGGATGGGATGCTCCAATGGTCAGTGTGGACTTGGTGGGCCAAAGGGCCTGTTTCCACACTGTAGGGATTCTATGGAACCTACAAACAAACAAACTGGGAACGGAAGTAGGCTGTTTGGCCTCTCAAGCCTGCTCCACCATTCCATAAGGTCTGTTTGTTTGAATCCCATCTCCTCTGATAACTCGTGATTCTTCTGCCGACTCAAGAATCTATCCAGCTCCAACTTAAAAATATTCAATAACCCCTCCTCCAGCACCTTCTGAAGTCAGAAGTCACATGACACCGGGTTCTAGACCAACAGGTTTAGATAAAATCACAAGCTTTTGGAGCCCTGCTCCTTTGTCAGGTTCACCCAACGAAGGGGCAGCGCTGCAAAAGCTTGTGATTTCAAATAAACCTGTTGGACTATAACCTGGTGTCATGTGATTTCTGACTTTGTCCACCCCAGTCCAACACCTGCCCCTCCACATCATCAGCTTCTGAAGCAGGGAGGTTCCAAGTTGCACAGCCCTCTGAAAACAAGTCCAGTCTGTCCAACTTTTCTCCATAAAACAACCCCCTCATTCCAGGCATTAACCTCCTGTGAACCAGCTCCAATGCATTTACATAAGGAGACCAACATACAGACAGTATTTGAGTTATAGAGATTGAGAATTTTGTAATTTACAATTAAATTCAACATCAAGATATAATTGAGACATTGCCAAAAATCTAGCTGAAAATTGAGTTGTTACATTTGGCCATCAAAGCCTGGAAACTGAGGCCACATTTCTGATATTTCTAAGTTGCGTCAACTTGATTATAATATCGGATGTTCCTTCGTTGAGCACTCTACAACAAAGTCAGTCAGTGACCACTGCAGCGAAACAAATTCAGGCCCATCCTGAGGGAGAGGCCCTCATAATATCATCCTTATTACTTGTGGTGAGTTTCAAAATGAGGCCTGAAGGCTGTTGTTCAGCACTAGAGTGTCATTTAGCGCAGCGCTAACATTACTTAACAGCAGTGTGACAGTAATAAAACTGAACTGTCCTGGGAAATTACTGTGAGTAAATATCTTGCTGCCCTGGATTTTACTCTGTAGGGACCTGGCTGTGTAATAACATTGGGCAGGATTGAGGTGGAAATTCCCAGCACATGCAGGGAAGTGGGAATTAAGACAACATCAGTCAATTATTGGTCTAAGAACATCCAGAGCCCCATCTGTACAACTGGCATTAAACTGAACAAAAATTGAGAATTAAGGATTAGATTTACGACCAATTAATCTCCATAACTCCCAGCAGCTTTTAGAAACAAAAACAGAAGTTGCTGGAAAAGCTGAGCAGGTGTGGCAGCACCTATGAAGAAAAAAATCAGATTTAACGTTTCGGCTCTGGTGACCCTTCCTCAGGCCTGCTGAACTTTTCCAGCAACTTCTGTTTTTGTTCCTGATTTATAGCATCTGCTGTTCTTTTGGTTTCCCCAGCAGCTGCATTCAGAATTCATTAACTATTCAGTCTTTGCCTCTGGAAGCTATCGAATTATTTGATTCATTTATCTGTAAGAGTTTCTGTTAAGGCTGCTGTTGAGTAGAGAGAGCAAAGAAAGAAAGATTCATATTCTGATAATACCTTTCACAACGTTAGGCTGAGCCCAAATTGCTCTATAGTCAATGATGTAGCCTTTTTCAACAGTTTTAATATGACAGCACATTGCTAGATCCCTTCAACACAATGTGACGATTGATCCCTGAGATGTGGGTGTCGCTGGGCCAGCTGTTATTGCTCTTCTCTAATTGCCCCTGAGAAGGTGGGAGTGAGCGGCCTTGACCTTCTGCAGTCTTTGGAGTGTTATTGGGAAAGGAGTCCCAGTGACAGTGAAGGAGCGGTGATATATTTCCAAATCAGGATAATGAGTGGCTCGGAGGGGAATTTGCAGGGAGTGGTGTCCCCATGTATCTGCTGCCCTTGTCCTTCTAGATGGTAGTGGTCATGGGTTTGGAAGATGTTGTTGATAGACAGATGATGTTAGTTGAATGATGTTCAGAGTATCTGAATTTAAGAGGCTTGGGCTTGTGCTATGATGCTCAAGGTTTTTCAGGTATTCAGGATTTTGCGGTGTTTGATGTGTTCAAGCTGTGATGCTTGGGGTTTGGAATGCTGGGCCGTATGGTTTATGGTGGGGATGGGGTGTCAGGGGGGCTTTGTGATGTTCAGGGTGTGATGTCTGTGGTGTGTGGGCTGTGGGTTTCAGAATGTTCAAGGTCTTCTGGGTGCAATGTTCAGAGTGTGGGGTTCAGGGTGGTTGCCATATTCAGAGTGCCATGTCTAAGGTGTTTTTTGGGTATGGAGTTCAGGGCACATTGAGGATTATAGAGAGGTTCATATCTCACTAACAATTAGCTGTGTGTGCTCTGAGAGGTTTT